CCCCCCCCCCCCTCCTCCTCCCTACGAGATGCATGTAAACCTTGATCTTACTGCGCGCGCTACCGGATCCTTGCTTTTCGCATCCAGGCATTTGCAGGATAAACTTGTAGCATAAACATGTCCATTTATATGTAATGCTAAAGACCGCCAAATGTTTTACTGCAAATGCCCGGATCTACTGTACAGTGGACTGCCATCACGCGAAAAGCAAGGATCCGTTAGCGCGCGCAGTAAGATCAAGGTTTCCATGCATCGCGTAGTGAGGAGGGGGGGGGGGCAGTAACTCCTGCTGCATATTTTATAATATCAGATACAGTAATTAATGAATAAAAAGGGATAGGTATTTTGGACTTCCAATGTAATAGGGAATTTTCAAGCGTTTTCAGAAACTGTGAGAATGGCAAAGCAAAGCCTGGTGCCCCCTTCCCCCTTCACCTGAACAGTCAAAATTTCAATTATGTAATCGAAAATGCCCTTCAGAATTACTCATTGATGACTGTAGAAAAAACAACGTTAAAAAAAAACACCCCCCTGAAAATCCGAAGTTTTCAAAAATGTTTGCAATTTTTGGCTCTGAGGGCTCATTTTAGGCCCCCAAAATTTACCATATGGTTAAAATTGGTAGTTTAAGTAATCGGAGGCTTAAAATATGCATGTTTAAGAAACTTGGGCATTTTACCCAGGAAGAAAACAAGTTTTTAAATAATATGACGGGCCTTGTTATGGGTAATTTGGCTATTTTAGCCCAAAAATACCTTTAAATCGACTGTATTTTCCAGGAGCTCGACAGAATTTTTTTCTTTTTGGCTTAAATGACTCAGTTGACACTCTACTTCAAGAATCTGAAGAGTTTTTGCTTGTGACTCGTCAAAAAATTTAAAGTCGTTAAGACCAGCTGTGCTGGAGTGGATATGAAGACAGGATTTGTAATTAGGAAAATACAAACCAACAGAGCTCTGTCAAAGATAAAGGCACTTTTGATGTTATATATTTTGTAAAAAATCAGGGAAAGCGGCCTGAGTTTGGTCGCTTTCAAAAATTGAAGTAATATTTCTGCAATTTTAAAGTTAAATCACTAAAAACAGTTGATGGTATCTGATGCAACATCTATTTTTCCTGTAGCATCAAAACTAGAAGAAACATTGCTTCGAGCCGAAGACATCATTCAAGTTGCAAACGAAATTTATGATAATGCAACAGTCATCAGCAGCGATGCAGCAATAAATCTAAGACCCCAACTAAAGAAGCTGGATGACGAAGGAGAGCTAAGTTTACAAGCAGCGGAAGACAAAAGTAAGTTGTGAGAAGACAATGCTTGCTATATACTAATTCAAAATTATAATAGTGTCAAGGAAAAAAACGGGGGGGGGATGAAACACACTGAAACATGAAAAATCCCCTGTGTTGATTTTGTGATCTATGTTTCCATATGTGCATGGTATAGCTAATAGGAATGATACTAGTGACCCTCTTTTGAACAAGACAGGCGGTGTAATGTAAGAATTTTTCGAGTAAAATTTATGTTTAATACATTGCAGTAATGAGTTTAGAATCTTAAGCAAACTTGGTTTTGGGTGCCTTCCCTCGTATTTAAAAAAGATTTCTGCCTGTGAGTGTGAAGGGTCATTTTCCCTAAAACAAAATTAGAATTTGAAAAAGTACAAACCAGGCTGCAGTTAATCCCTTAGAGGACGGAAAGACAGCGCCTCTGATGCACAGCAGCCCGATGAAAACGCTCCTCATAAAACGCCGATTATTATGATGTTTTAGCCAAAAACAGGTTAAGTAGTGGAATAAATTTTATATGTTTTATAGGTATAATTTTCTTTTTTTTAGTACAGAAAAAACAACTCAGGCAGGAGCTCCTAGTTCTAATTATACCACCCATAAAGTACTTTTATTCCTTGCACATAGCAACTTTTTATCAAAACAATTTGTATTTATTTTTTTGTTTGCTTACTTAGTAACAGACGTGCATTCTGTGAGTAAAAGAGTGCAAGAGCAGCTTGCCATCATGCAGCTAGCTGAGGCAAAAAGAAACGAAAAATTCACACTTTGGAACAGCACCCTACTGGAGAAATTAGATGCTGTGAAAATGAAGATTACTCAAGCTCGGCATATAGCAGACGGTGTAAGTACTTCCTACCTCAAAAGAAAGAATCAAAAGAATGCGTCATTAAATGCAATTTCTTTTTTTTACATAGAATTTCCATGAAAGTTACATGAAAAGATATATGAAAAGAAAGTTGCTGTCTTAATTTTGTCTAACTAAAAACTCGTTTACATTGATTTGGAATGAAAAACAATTAATGTATTGATAGTGGAAGGAACCGTATGAAAACAACTTGGATTGGAAGGCACTGTGTTGCATGCAAATCCTGCGCACTTAGTTGTCTCTGATTTAGATCATTTTCACATCGTTTCATTCAATTTAAAAACACCCTATTGAGCAAAATGCACCGCATCTTACACAAAAAATGCTTGCAAAAATATTAAGAAAGTCATTTTAATAAAACAACAGAAGACTCGAAAGAATGTGAGGTGGTACTTTATGCACAATAAATCAACAAATTTTAAGTAAAAAAAGTAAAAATTAACAAGTTTTTTCAAGATTTTTTTCCACTCAAAAATTGACCTTTTCTTTTTGATCATTGCTCTCCAGATTCGTCTGTCATTGACAAGCAAAGGAGAACGAGGGTCTTGTATCCGATCCTACCAACCGGATCTTCTAGAGTCGAGCATCACCAACACAATCGTCCTCACCTATGCAATCAGCTCTCAACATCGTGATGCTCTCTTGTTTTATCTGCCAAGTTCCACCACAGTGAGTTCAAGTTTGAATTTCAAAAGAAACCATGCCAACTTTATATTGAAATCCTCTTACAACTCGCCCATTCGTGCCATTTTCTTTAAATAACTTACACTTTTTCAAATAGATGCATCCAACAATCTTCTGACCAAGAATCCATTCCCCACGTCTAGAGCGTTGAAAATTGGAAATGATTGGCAGGGAATGAAAAATATCCGAAAAAATCAGGGAATTTTCCAGGGAATTAATGCTGGAAATCAGGAATTTCCTAATAAATAAAGAAGTGTCCCGGTGCACTACCCTCTTTTAAACTTGCTTGTTACAATTACTCAATTATCAGTGAACCAAACGGTGAATTTTTGCTGTAATTTCAATGCTTTTTCTTACGTCTTCAATGAAAGCACCACATATTTTGCCCCTGCGAGTTACAGGTAATGGTGTGAAAATCAATTCAAAGAAAGGAGAGCTTCCGCCTTTTTGCAAGGCCTTTGTTCAGTTAAGTTTTACATAAATGTTACTTTTTCCCACCAAAATTTTTTTTTCAAAATGAGAGTCTCCACAGGAAAAGGGATCTCACTGTATTTCCAGAAAGGCTCATGACGAGCTTATTCAGTAATTTTTAACTATTGAAGTTTTAAAAAGTAGATAGTTGACAGGGATTTTCCCAGATTTTTTTAAAGGATATTGAGGTACAAAAAAATTATTCAAGGTTGCTAGATTTAAGCTTCTTGAGACCAGCAGCAACCTCTGACCAGAGAGATTGGTTTGCATGCCATCTTATTTTTCTTGCTAATGCTCGTTTAAATTGAAGCTCAGATTATGCAACTTTGAACTCGTTTTTTGTGCCTTAATATCCTGCAAAAAAAATCCGGGAAATTCCTGTTCACTTAAGTCCACTATCTATTTTTCGAAAAACCATCAGCGGTTCATTTTTATCATTAAACCATAGCAGAGTAAGTATTTTACAAACACCTCGAGACATTAAACCTCTTAGAGTTATGATGGTTTGAAGTCGGCAGTTCTAGAAACTTATCTCCATGAGAGGCTATTGAAAATTCTGTGCTGTCATGTTCAGGGTACAAAATTGTCAGATCATGATTCAATTTTAAACCCACTGTTTGCACATAAATGAGTTAAATTGCACCAGAATGTATTGCAATGAATTAGAATTTATGACAGTGCATTAATTAACACAGATAGAATTTTCCGACAAACCAGTTGTTTAACCAAATTTGACAAAAGTTACTCTGCTGAAAACTTTGCCTTAATGGATTTGGTTTCCTTTTCCTTTTAAGCAGAAATAGTTAGTTTTGATTGTTGACTCCATTTTTCTTTTATTGCAGTAAAAAAGGGGAAAAGAGAAAGGAGGAGGGAATACATATTTCATATGAAAATTTTTACCATAATTTTACAGTTTGGAAGGATTTGAGATACTATTCTCAAAATTGTTGATTTTTTCTCATTAAGTGCAACAGGCATTCTATCAATTCCCTCTCTAAACAGTGTTTTGGTAGTTGATGACATTTCCCAGAGATTTGCACCACTAACGCATTGGTCTGTTCATTTTTAGAGTGATTTCCTGGCAGTGGAAATGGTCAACCGAAAAATCAGATTTGTGTGGAATGTTGGAGGAGACACAGGGGAAGTGACAAACGCAGTTCACATTCAAACTGCAGGTGACCTCAGCAATGACCAGCATTGGTATCGCATTGAAGCAGAAAGGTAACCTCTACTTCCAAACAAAATTTTAGACTGTAAATCAGCATTTTAAAGTGACATTATGCCAATGGACAAGTAAAGAAGGTACGAATTTAAGCATTCTGATGCATGTTTCTTAACCAAAATTTCACATGGAACATGATTCGCGCAGCAAAAACTACTAGACCTAACTCCTAACTAAAATATGTAATGTCAATTGATGCATGGATTCAAACCGCCTGCTCTTGATAAAAGAAAATTCCATGTTAGTTAAATTGCACACTAAACGTCACCGTAGCAGTCTCTGTGGTATGAAAAAATGACAACCTCAATTCCGGTGCTTTGGCTCACCTGTTGCAGTTGTTAAACACTTCAGCGAAAACATGGCAAGTAGGTAACATTGCTGGATTATGAATTCTGCCAAAACTATTGTAAAGTGTGATTTGATTTAAGTAGACAAGTATTTTTCTTGTGAGCAGGGAATTCAAATTTCCCTCAATCAATGCTAAATATAAACAAGATACACTCTACTACAGGTATAGACAAACGGGGTGCTGAAGCGGCAGCGCTGTGAACATAGGCCATCCAGTGACGTTGCAAGTCGTACCGTCTTTGCCGTCTTTGTCGTTCTTTCAAAATGACCCTCTTCTGACAACAGAGCTCTTCAGGTAGCTTCAATGAGCTCTCAAATGAATTTACAAAGTTGATAAAACTCAAAATAACGAAAAACTTAACTGAAAACAAAAAAATAACACAAAATTGACGAAACCCACTCTCAGAACAGAAAGTAAACAAGTCTTTAATATGGCGTTGCAGTTGTACCATTGGACGCCGTCAAATGTACACGTTTCGACAACTTTCAAAAATTCCATTTGTCCATACCGGTAGTAGAGTGTACCTTGAAATATAAACGTTAATATCTTAGTTAGGGGTTGATTTCAGCAGTTTTTGTCGTGGGAATTGTGTTCAACATAAAATTTTGATTCAGAAAAATATATCAGAATGCTTTAATGCGTACTTTGTCTACTGGTCCATTTTTCTTCATAATCTAAGGGAAGAAGTTCAATTTGCTGTCTCAGTGCAGGGTGTCTCTCCTCAGTAAAAACCTCAAAACCTGGGAAACATCAGGAAAATCGGTCATGGATCAGGAAATTCTGAATTCATCAAGCATTTCCTAACTACTAGCAGTTTAGCATATGCCAAAGTAAAATGTACCATGTAACTCATGAAATACATTTCGACGGTGTAAGTCGGCAATCAAATAACTCGGTTTGCGACGTCGCAGACTTCCTGTCATACTTTATTTCTTAAATGGAAAACTACTCAATAATAATTCTTTAAAACTGCAGTGATTTGTCTTCTTTGTGCGAAAAAAATTTCAATGAATGATAAAAATGAATGATTTTTAAAAAAATAACATAGAAGCGGAGATTTTCAGACACCGCAAACGAGATATGTGATTGCGGACTTATGCCGTCGATATGTTGGCTTATGAAATCAAACAAGTGTCAATTTATTCAAGGAAAAAATCAGGAAATTTTATTCAAAATATTCTAAATGAAATGTTAGTGAATGCTGTCTTTTCTACCGTACCTTGCTAGCCCAGAAAAATGGTGGTGTTTAGAAATTCCTTTGAGGCCTTATTTTATCTCCCATGAGTATTGAAACTTTTTCTTTTCTATTTTTCCTTCTCCTTTTTTGATGCACTAAAGTATTTCTCATTCATTCCTTGAGTCTCATTGGTTTAACCTTTGTACAAAAGATCTCAACTTTTCGGTTCTATTTCATGGAAAGTGTTTCACCATTTGTAGAAATGTGTTCTATGCACTAAGGTGTTAGTTTCTGCAATCAATGAATTTCAATTCCATGCCTTGTTTTTTTGATCACTAGGAAAGCAAACGTGGGAACACTGTACGTGCGGCCTCAAGTTTTGCCGTTCGGGTCGTACCTTCGCGATGGTTCACCGGTAACAGGGAATTCAACAGGAGGGATCGGGCGCCTGGATGTGAGCCCCCACGATCGTGTATGGGTTGGCGGCGCTGACCACAAACCAGCCGAGTTGCGCTCCATGCAGCCAGGTCTTGTCGGTTGTCTCCATAATCTTTTCCTCGATGGCCGTCCAATTGGGTTATGGGACTTCCGCACTCAAACAGAAGGCTGCACTGCTTGTATTGAGGGGTATGTTTCTTTATGCATGAATGTCCTCAGAAAAATAATTCTAGTCCACAAAAATCCAAGATTGTGTGCTTGAAACCAGAGTGTAAAGGAAAGTTCTGCAAACGATCCACTTAAAAACCGCCCAAAAATTTTAAACCAAACTGGAGTTTTTTCAAACATTGTGGAGAATTTGATGTCGACATCTCAAATCTGATTTTATCTTCTATTTTGAAAACGATTCTCTTTTCTGAATACTCTCCATAAACTTGCAACATCAGTTGGAACCTTATAACAGCTGTGAGGTTGAGAGCGTATTTCTAACTTAAAACTCAAAAAAGAAAAAATCTAAGTTCGAAAATGATGTATTTTTGTCATCAACTAGAAAAACCCTTCAAAAGAACAACCAAAGAAAATAGCTCATAATTTGAATTAGTGGTAGTAAAAGTAAGCTTGTTCAGTGACTTAATTTCAATGTTCGACAAGATTTTCTGAAAATTGCTCCTATCAATGCTTCCAAATTCTCCATAATGCTAAAATATGTCCAGACTTGGAAGTGTTTGTGAAAAGACACAGACATAGACACCCTAGAAGACATAGACAAAATGCATTGGCTGTTTGATTGTTTCAGGATTTTCTTTCACCTTTTTACTCTCAAAAGGAAATAAACATACTTGTAGAGAGTTGGGAATTTTATTGGGCATTGTTTATCATTTTACAATATTTTTACTTAAATTTTTATCTTTGGCAATTGTTTTTAGTGCTGAGGAGGTGAAAGACGAACAAACATACCGATTCTTGGGCGACGGTTATGCAGTCCTACACCATGACAGTTCCTCTGCCTACAATAAATATCTCCTCTCCGTATCGCTGAACTTCAAGACTTTTGACGAAGATGCCCTACTATTTTTGGCTGTCACAAACGATACTGTGCGTATACCGATTGCTTTTACATAATCAAACTTTACAGTTCTTTACTCTTGATAGTTCAGAGGAACATCAGAACTATCATTACATTACTTATTTATGCTGAGCCCTTTTTGACTGAATAAATCAACAAGTTTTTACGGACTTTGGTGCAAAATACATATGCTGTTTGATTGTTTCAGGAATTCCTTTCACCTTTTAACTCTTAAAAGGAAATAAACATACTCGTAGAGAGTTGGAAATTTTAATGGGCATTATTCATAATTTTACCACATTTTTAGCTGAAAATTCAAGTTTAATACTAAAAAAATCACTAAAATCGACTTAATCGAGGGATTGATGATGAAATTTCCAAGGCTTTACAGGAGGAGAAAGAGGTCTTTGTTTTTATCGTACTTACTCTCAAGAAGCGGATATCTGTATAAACGCTAAAAAAATTCTGAAACAATGAAAATTTCAAAAATTTCACTTTCTTCAAAAAATCTACATATTGTATTCATTTTTTATCTTTTTCGAACACTCCACAATATGTCTTAAAGTTTGAAAGATAGGTTATTTTTATTTATTAATTTTTTTTTTCTTCAATCATCTCAGGAAACTTCTGGAAAATCATGTAATGATTCAGTAAGGGAAATGATAAATGATGTTAAATACTAAAGACTAAATTTTGAGCTTTTTATATAATTCCATACAAGTTTTACCTTTTATCTCTAAATTGCATCTAAAAATTTTTCCATCAAATTTTAGTTTTGTCGACAGTGATAAATTTAATGCCATATTTATTCTGTTCTCTCTCTCTTCAGGATAAATTTGTCTCTGTCACACTTTCTGAGGGTCGTGTAGTTTTCCGAGTTGGTTACGGAGGTGATATTAGTCTTGAGATATCAAGTAACTCACGCTACAACACAGGCAACTGGACTCGACTGGAGGCTACAAGATACTTTGATCGGAAGAAAAAAGTAGAGAAAGGTAAAGTCAGTCGTCAAACCTCTCTTTTGAATTTCTCCGATAACATCAGTAATAATAAGGAAGCTGTAAAAAGTCCCATTAATGTCCAACCGTTACCGCTCATAAGATGAAGAACCTTCGTGCCAAAAAAATAAAAATTGAATCAGTTTTCATCAAAAGAGCTTGAGTCTCTTTCACCTTGATGGCTGACAAATTAGAAATCAAAAGAAAACGCATCAATGATAAAAGTCATTCAAATCTGTGTACAGGGTCGAGATTTGTCAAATTAATGTAATTTTAGTCCTTAATTGGTTGGGGTGTGTTTTTTGGAGTTATTAGAGTGTTTTCCATTAACAATTCAAATAATAATTTCTCCATCCTATTTAACGCAAAGCACACTTCTGAGAATTTTGCCCTCATGCAATTAAGTTCCTGTTTCTGTAAGTTGTTACATATTTATATTTTTGTCATTGAAAATTTCTTACCATAGATTATTTAAAGTATGAACGAGTTGACCCAGTTAAATGAAACTCTGTAAATTTAGTTCGTTCCACCCAAGGCATTTTCACTTTTGGCACTGTTAATTCAAAGCAATCCCTTTTGTTTGATCTCAATTTGAAATCAAACTGTGTGGTACAAAATTAGACCAGTAGTTGTAAAAATAAGAGAAATGTGGTGCTTTCTATTCTTGACAGTTTATGATTAAGAAAATCTTGAAGTCTCACCACAGAAATTTCTATTAAGAAGCTAAATTTAATTTCAGCGCATGGTTTCCTGCGTGTTTTTCAGGTATCCTGAAAATCGGAACGGAATCGCGAGATGGGGCGCCAACACCACCTCCTAATCAAGATGCAATCCCTGATCTATCCCAAGCGCAGTTATTCGTGGGCGGCACTCCACCAAGTTTCCGAACAAGACGTTGGCCAGGTTCTTACTTGGGCTGCATGTCGGAAGTGAACGTTGCACAAGAAGGTTACAATCTGTTGCGTGGGCAATTCTGGGGTATCCAGCCCTCATGCTCGCAAAAGGTACCTTATCAAATAATCATATTGTAATTATTCCAATTGCTGTATAAATAGGTGAATAAGTTTAAAATAAAAAAAAATGAAAAAAAAAAAATTTAGCTACCCTTTAATTCAGAGTCTAAAGATGAAGAGCTTGAATACAATTTTTAAAAAAAATTACGACCTCTACTACTTTGACTCAAGTTTATCCTAACATAAAATGAATATTTGTGCTCATTTTTTTGCCTCACTTAAGAGTCTGAAAATATGTCGGTCAGTGCATTTTTTCAGTTTTAAATGAATTTTCGCGAAAATCAATAAAAAATTTCATGCTCCTTTACCTGCATAATGTGCCCATTTCTGTATGTTTATAATTTCCTTATTGAACTTTTTCCTTCTTTTTTTCCAGGCTCTAACCATTGCTGGATTCAATGGAAACGGATACTTGGAGCTGGCATCGTACAGCCTTGAGAAAAAAGCTGCTTTCGGCTTTGTGTTTGCAACCTTACAGCAGAATTGCTTGTTGATGTTGTCCACCTCTCAAGGACTAATGGTAATGTTATCCCTCACATTACTTCATTTTAATTTGTTAAAAAAAAAATAGTTGAATTCTTCCTCTCAAGCTTTTAACTCTGGTATATTTTTGCCTGAATCATTACTTTTCCAGTTCTTTATGTTCATCTCATATATTTTATCAACTTTCTAAGCAAGATTTTTACCACCTAATACGATTCAAAAATTTATCGCACATGGAAAAATCACCACCTCTGTCTAGACGACTTGTGCCAAACCGCAATCTCTTTGTAGATTCAAAAATGATTCAAAGTATTACGAGGCATATCCTGTAATTGAAAGAGCATTTAAAGTAAGCAGAAAGTATGAAAAATGTCTTAATTTAACTGAAAATGGGACATTAGCGTTAATTTTCCATCAAAATGAGTCAATTCAAATTATGTAGCTGCGGAAGAGAACGAAAATCAATATAGGTCGATATGACCGTTTTAGAAATGAAGCTATCCTTGTGCCAGAGTTGAGACTCACAAAAGTTTCCTCCCTCTCTTGATGCTTAGCATTTGTAAATTTGTCCAAAAAAATTCACCACACGGAGGAAATTATTTCATTGCACAGCATGATGAAATTAGTTTAGTATCAATTTGATTCAAATAAACTTCGGTTCAAGGATGGTGGAGTTAGAATTGACGAACACAAATCATACCAATTTCTCACTTTCGAGACGAAATTAGACATCTCAATGTGTCAACAATACTCCATGTAAAGTTTTGATGAGAGAAGACAACATGCAATGCTTTGTTTCTAACCTTATATAGTGATCAATTCTAAGTTAGATCGCTGATTGTACATCATTACTGTTCTAATTTCTCTATTCCTTGTTGTTCTCTATCTTGAATCTCTAGAATCGACAAAGTTACTATGCGGTGAGCCTCCGCAACGGCCAGATCGACGTGCGGTTGAATGCAGGTCACGGAGAGGTGCGGCTGGCAAGCACAAGCTCCGACTACGGCAATGGGCAGTTCCACTCGGTGGTCGTCATCAAGCGAGGCAAAAAACTGGAACTCCAAGTCGACGACACGACCGATTCCTCAGCAACGCTCCCTCGTGGGAGCCTCAACATTAAAGTCCCTGGAGATGCCGGTGGCCTCTTCTTCGGTGGAATACCACCGGATATCAACACAACTGGCCTGGCTGTCTCAGATGAACCTCTTATTGGGACCATCAAAGACGCAATCTTTAATAACAGGTTAGTACATACGATTTTAAAATGTTTTGACAATTCGTGTTTTTTAATAATTGAGCTTTCTGTGATTGGATGACCTCATGATCAGACACAATGTGGATGATCGCCTAGTAGATTGGCAGAATATTGATTTTCGTCTCTAGAAGACCACTGATTTCCGAGAAGAGAAGCTTAAACAAACAGAACTTTGATCCTCGTCAAGAAAGGAGTAAATTTGTAAATTCAAGACGTTTAATCCACTATTTTACCGAATTCTCTATAACATTTCAGGCAAACTCAAAGCTGTTGCATCTTGCATCCATATCTTACTATTAGACATTACCTAAATATTCCCTAAACATGGAATAGTGAAAAATATGCTTATGGCCAAAATGTGAAACCACGTACCTCCGTTTGCGATGTTGTAAACCTTATGTCATACTTTATTTGACATTTTGTAAACTAGTCAATGCAATTTCTCAAACTCTTCTTTGATTTTCTTTCTCTATTAGCAGAATTTCTGTTTAAATTTTTAAGCTATAAAGTTGGCTTGTTTTCTAGAGAAAATAAAAATACCAGTGGAAATTTTGAAACTCTCCAATTGAAACTCGTGGTTTTGCACTTTTGCCATTGACTTTGCCGATAATTTTCATTTGTAGCTCCAATTTCCAAAGTCAAAGATGATCTCCAGTCAGTCTATTTTGACTTTGAACTGCCTGTTATTTTTTCAGTGTTCTAGCCTTTGATAAGCCGTTGGAATTTGAGCACGTGGCAATTGGTCGTCATGGACCCGTGCCAGTGCGGACGGAGGCATCTCGACTCGAGGTGGAATCCATGCAGATTTCTCCAGAAAACTCTGCCAATGGCTGTCGCAAAGTTTCCAGCTACCCAATCGAGTCAGGAGCAGCTAAATTCGGTGACACTCCTCACAGTCATGTCCAAATTGATTTCTCCAAGCGTAACCTTGGAAACATTTTTCAGGACAATTTTACGCTAGAGATGCAGTTCAGAACTTTTTATCCCAATGGAGTACTCCTAGTTATACCTGTAAGTATTTCTCAAATATGTCATGTGATGAGTTACTCCTTCAATAATATATTTGTGACCCTTCACATAAGAAAGAAGACATTTGTACCAAAATCGAAACAGAAAATTTGGCTTTATCGCCTTGAGGAGTGTTATTTAATGTATCAAAACGTACGGAAAAGTACGACAAATGAAATGAACAGCTTTTTGTTCGAATCGAGAATCAGACATGTGACAATGTACTAGGGTTGAAAAAAAATTGGTCCCGAAGAAAATGTGAAAAATGGCATCATTGTAATCTTAAATACCTAAATGATCAAATCAACTGCATATTTCAAAAGAACGCAATTTTTGAAGAATTTTAGCGCAAACCGCACCTCAATATCTTTTTTCGTTTAAAAGATATGGAACTCAACAGTTTTCAACTCGGCAACGCTGCTACACGGAAAGAAATTCGTTTCAGGCCTTGAAATTTGGGAAAAAGCTTATCCTATAATAAGGAATGACTTATTGAAAAGTGGTCAAAATACATGAGGGGGAACTTTTGCCGATTTTGCATACACCCCTTTCTATTTGCCAAGATCCAAATTTCTGGACGAAAATGCACCTTTATAGCTCATTTCAGCCAAAAATGGAACCAAATCGGCAAAATGTTTTCTCCCGAAAAGTGTGCATGTTTTGAGGTTCTATTCCGTGGGGAGCCTCGTAGGCTGCTGCCCTCGGTAGAAATTTTAATTTTACAATCTTTTGGCTGTGTAAAAACATTGGCACGAAGAAACGCCTTCTCTGAAGTGGCTAGCAAAACAACATCAACTTTTGCAATCAAGCATCTCTGTGCAGGAAGTTGTAAAAAAGAACAAAAAGGGACTATCTCGTACAAAAGACAGCAGCAAATTTCGTTATGCCTATAGGTGTCAGCCTGTCAAATACCACCCTTTTTAAAATATAAACTCCAATACGAGACCCAATCAAACTGAGAGCTTTGAAATTATTTTTTTTTCAGAGCATCAAAAACAAATTAGCAAACTTCATAATGGCAACGCTCGTGAATGGCCGGTTAAAGGTCATTGTCCAGGGGAAGAAGAAGAAAAAATCTGAGAGCATGTCTCAAATTGCAGTGAATGATGGATTGTGGCATCATGTAAGTACGGAAACCTCGCTCATCATTCGTTTCATACTCCCCGGTCGCAGCTTTGAATTAAGTGTTGTGATATTTGAACTCAAAAGCTTAAAAGCTATTGTACGTCAATTTAATTCTCATGCAGTAAGATTCTGATAGAATATTATACATACCTATCTAGTAAAGATTTTATTTTCATTTTTAAAATTAAATGTTGGAAAATTTAGGAATGAACTCTGTGTCGAACATGGAGTAGATTTTTGTAATTGATAGGATTCACTCTAAAAATCCTAAAGCCAAACTCAGAAACCATGTAACTCAATTGCAACATCTAAAATTGTCATGCACACTTATTTTCCCGGGGAAAAATTGAAGAATTTGACAGTTAAAATTTTTTTTAGAACAATCATGAAATGGTGGGGGAAAAAAAATTGGAATACATTTCAAGTCATAATGCAAATTTGTGGTAACTCTCCAAGAAAAATAATGTATGGATAGAAATTTCAAAAATCTGCGATTGATTTTGGAGTTTGACAGAAGCTTTCCACCATGAAGAACGTAAATGGATTCAAGGTCACAAAGTGAAGCAAAATAGAGAAAACTTGTAATTTAATGTGCGGAGAAAAAGCGAAAAGGAGGAAGGTAATTTTGTTTGAGGATGAGGAATTTAATGTGGGTAGTGAGATACATGTTTTCAAAACTGTATGCTTGTCTTTTATTTCCAATTTTTTTTTTTTTTTTTGCATGGAACAAGATGATGCTCATGAAAGAGGAACACATATTCCGCATGCAAATTGACAACAATCCGCCTATCTCGTTCGAGGCCCACAAGAAGTCGAACATCGGAAACATTACATACATCGGAGGTCTGCCAGAGGAACTCTTAACCTCAATGGTTTGTGTTGTCTTCATTTTTAGCCGAAGTCTGGTAGAGGAAACAACTTGTGCTGCCTGCATTGAGTTGTTATCAAAAATAACAAAATATCAGAAGGATGAATTAAATATATGGCTCCATGAGTGCTCAAACTTCAAGTCAAATCGAGCTGCATTCTGTGAACTTGACTTACCTTGAAACGTGAAGTATAATAAGCGAATACTTTACTTGTCTTAATTGCAAAAGATAGATAATTTTTTGAGCTCTTTAGAGCACGAAAACCAACAAGAGTCAAGATGTTCTTCATTTCATTGATACTATTATCTCATCAGTCTTGCACCATCCCTAATCCAATAATGTCTAGACTCGATTGAAAAATCACTAACGTAAATTTTTATTGAGAGCAACCACACCAGCGCTTTTTTTTTTTTCGATTTATACCATTTGTAGGAAATGTAGAAAAGCATTAATAATCACTGTACATGAATTAACTTGTCTTTAATTTGGATGTTTGTTGGTTTCAGAAATTCTCATATTTCCCCAAAACAGAAACTTTCAAAGGCTGCTTAGCTCGTTTAATCCTGAACGGTCAGTTCGAAGACTTGGTCGGAGATAAGTATCATAAAGTAGGACAGTGTTTCCCGCATGTTGAGAAGGGCTCTTATTTTCCAGGAGACGCTTTTGCTATCTATGGTATGTCCTAATTCTTGAGCCGATTGGTCCTAGATACGTCTATCGGCAGTCAGAAAAATACTCTTCGTTTTTAGACTTTTTACTGTCAGCTGAAGAGCATCTACTTTTACTTTTTTTACTATTCTGTCCTCAATTGTCACTGTCCATAGGAAAGGGGACTTAGTGAACACAAGCACATTTACTAGAAGAGTAATTTCTCTCAAGCTGAATAAAAAAAAAACAAAATTTCAGGTTTCCACAGAAAATGCACAAGAGTATCTGAAGGAATAAGTTGTAAAAGGTTTTGTTCAGTTTGCACCTTTTGACAGTAAATAATTGCATTTCAATTTGACGTTCCTACTTTTCTAGCCTCTAGAGCAGTAGATTCTAACTTTTGATGCTTTTTCTCAAACTATTTTTTTTTTTTTAATGAATACTTTTGAATGTCGGTTCCCTTGGAAGGGAAGGGAACAATTATACAAAATTTAAAATTTCTCCAAACAATTATATAAAAGTCTCAATTTTGAGTTTTAAATGTTAAGTTAAATTGAGATTTATTGATGTTAAATTTAAATTGAAGTGAAATTAAGAAAACAATTTGTACCAAATTGGAATTATATCAGTTCTAAATTTACATTTCAGAAATGTAGTTTTGAAAAAAAGCTTTTTAAAATTCTAGTTTGCTGTGGTTAGAGCGCAAAACTACTTGATTAAAATACAACCTTACACCTGCGTTTAGCGCAGAGTTGAACCTCAAGGCTCACAGCTGATTCTTCGGGATTCTAGAGAGTTTTTCCCATCGCGAACCCATAATCTGATCTACTAGCCCAACTCGTTAAAAAAATTTCTACTGAACTTGTTGTCCCTGTGGAGTGAGGACCCAGTCAATACATATAATTTTTCTTTCCCCAACTCTCTCCTGAAAGAAAGAAATACATTATTCTGAGTTATCCTTTCTTAGATTATATCTGATCCTCCTCTGTTTTTTATCACTTATTTTTAGAAAATGAGTTCGATGTTGGTTCGTTAATAGAATTAGAAATTGAATTCCGAACGTCTGAAATGAATGGAATCATCCTCTCTGTATCACAACCAGAAGGGTATCCAGCTCTTTCTCTCCAGTTTATCAATGGCAAGGTATGTATAATGAGGGGTTTTTTTCTTACATTAATGTTAAATGCCTCTATTGGGTTTTTTCACAGGCAAACTTCTGGGATGAAATATTAGTTGATACTTAAAATCAATGTTACCAAACAATTAGAAACTCTCACATGCCACAGAATGTCTTACTTTTCCAGAAATCAATATGCCAAATCACGCATGATGGTAAACCTAGAAATATGCTATTTTGGTCGGTGACATTGCTGATTTCTTGTCACATTTCATTATTTTGAAAAATAAAACGTTCCTACTGTGTCCTCTTTCTTAACTCAAGGATCGAATGGGAAAATGTAATGTAATATATTTTTTTAAAAAAATTGAATGATGGTCCTAATTTTGAGTGGTTTGCAGTTATCATGAACTGCTCGAAAAGATTCGCACTGAGTGGCATTCTGTCGTTAGGTATCTTGTACATTTCATAAAAACAAAGGCCGTATGAAGTTTGATGGGTTCTTTCACATCCTGAAATTAGAGTCAAATGTTCGTCTTTGCACCATTTTTTTAGTGTTTAAAGACAAGCTTTCATTTAAAGACTCTGTTTATTTTTCTTTTTTTTTATATTATTATTATTATTGAAATCGTCAGTGAATGTAAGTTGTAAGTAACATTTCTGAAATTTTAAATTAAACAAACTAAAATTTTAAAAACTGTATTAAGTCTTGTGGCTCATGAAAAGCTTAAACCAATATTTTAGAGCGGATAGCTGTGGAATAAGTTTCGTTTTTAATCTCTAAAAAAAAAAAAAAACAATAGTCAGTTGCCTCCGGGCTTTTATTAGATCTTCAATTTTTAATTGAAATTATTGTCTCCTTGTTAACTTACTTTTAAAACTCTTCGCGTATGCAGGTTGTAATGACAGGCGACATGGGCGACCGCCGGCCTTTCCGTGTTGAGCTAGGTTTGGGCTCTGATTTTGCAGTGTGCGATAACAAATGGCATCGGATCGTGGCCCAGTTCAACAACGATGAGATAACACTGAGGCTGGACAGCGAGGGAACCAAGTACTGGCTCTCGGATAATGGACATTTGACTGGAGCGCACACTAATAGTCCACTCTACATTGGAGGCTTACCAGGTAAACTCTCTTGCTCAATTTTTTTCTGATTCTTGGCATTCATATTGAAGAAACGCCCTTCCTCTTTGATAAAAGTAAACCTTTCCTGAGCACCAGTGATTGCGACAAGTTGTCGTTTGGTAAGTGAATTATTGCAATATTCTCGTGACCAAAAATTCAATTTCAAAATTGCTGCAATAAAGTTGCAACTTTATTGCAGATTTTTCATTGAAAAATGCTAATTGGGTTGCTCTCAATGTGGAAATTAGAAATAGTGTGAGAGCAGTACTGCACAAATGCATAGTTATAGGATAGCATTCTAATAAGTTGAAGTGAGAAAAATTAAAATTTGATTTCTAAAAATAAGTTAGAAGCAATTTAGCTCACTCTTGATGTTATCCGGGTGCACGATGTGAATTGGCATTTTTATCCAGAATTGAAAGCACTGAATACGGAAGATGAAAAAGTCAATTAGCTTTAACTCCACACAGTATGCATTTAACAGGGTTTCAAGGGCCTGGAAAATTCAGGGAATCACAGATTAATAAGTCAGATAATTTGGCGTGTAGCGCATCAGCTCAACAACCAGTGCCACCCAAGAGTGCAAGGAAAACTTCCAGAGTGCATTTTCCCTTCATTTGAATCTTTAGAAGTTGAATTGTTGTCCAATGTTAGGTAAACTCAGTGTGAAATAAGGAAAAAATCCATATGCAAGCGTTGTTTGAAGGTCTGAGAAAGGAACAGAAATTTTGGAGTGTGGGGGAAAAAAAAACAGTTTTAGAAAATCAGGGAATGGATTGTATCCAATACATCAAAGAAGAGCTCTATCATTGCTATATTGATATCAATTGGTTCTAAATACTTAAACACCTCAATAATCACCCATATAACGAACAGTGAAATGCATGTTTTTACGAAGGAAAGATTTTTTTAACTAACAGCAACATAAATCATCATCATAATCATGAAGATATCAAGACCAAAAATGCAATGAAATTATGAAATATTTTGGAATTGCAATGCGTGTCGTGAGGGTGAGTATTGAGGTTATCTCAATGTTTTGGACCAATCGATATGTCAAACCACTAATGAATCGGATCCACTGGAAAAGGAAAAATAATGGGAACCCTTATATATCGACAGTGTAAGTCCGCAACCATGTATCTTGGTTTGCGACTTTGCAGACTTCCTGTCATACTTAATTTCTAAAACAGAAAACTACTCAACGGCAATTCTTTAAAACTGCCGTGATTTTTCTTCTCTGTGCGAAAATAAGTCTGCATAAACTTCAAGGAATGATGTCAATTTGTTCTCCATTAAAGAAATATTATAGAGGCGGAGATTTTCAAACACCGCAAACGAGACATGTGGTTGCGGACTTACGCTGTCGATATGCTATAAATTTAAAACTTATGTAACTTTGGTTCAGTTTTACATGTTTGAACGTCGTTTGTAATGAAATGCCATTGATAAAATCACGATAATCTACTGTTTGAGTAGCATCCCATTTTCTGTGGACAGTCATTTTTTCAGTCATATTACTCTCTCTTAATGATAAACTTTGGGTTGCAGATCATGCGACGATAGACACATTAGAAACACGGGAGAACTTCAAAGGCTGTATCCGTTACGTAAGCATCAACAAAATACGCAAGGACTGGATCGAGATGGAAGCCCTCCACAGCATCCTCCTCGGCTCCTGCCCCCGTGATAATGATCCAAAGTTGTGATACTCAACTGGGACTTGCACCATCAAATGGTTTCAAGACTGACAATTTAATGCTCTCTGCTTCTGTTGCAAACCTCACAGGGTCCACATCAAGTGAACTATATCTTGCAATTCGAAACTACAAAGTCTGACACCGGATGTCACCATGTGCATAAAGAACTATGGAACGTATGATGTTTCTTAACTGAGCCAAGAGTTGCAGTTCCCAATCGCAAAATGTAGTCAATCTGTAACATTATGAAACTATGAAGCCGTGTCTCAAAATCCCATGCATATCTTACTTTTTTACATTAATAATGCCGTGTTAAGGCACATCGGAACGTGCTGTATGAACATTCAAATGTTGCCAAATTTCCTTTCAGGAAATTTCAGACTTTCTGAGCAAATTATATACTAACAATATTCTCAAAAATAGTCGGAAGAAAGATGGTGCACCAATTTTTCCGAAAATTAGTAATTTTTTCAAGGAGATTTGTCAACACCTGAAAGCTCACACGGCGTTTTTCCTTAGCATGGCAGAATATTACTCTACAGTTTTGTGTTAAATTTTCGAGGAATTTAATTGTAAGGGCAAAGAAAAATCACAGACATCCTTTAAAGAAGTAAGATGGGGCAGAAAATCAAGAATCAAGATTGGCAGGTTGTGCAATAAAATGGGGATATTTTGCAAAGGCTTAAATGAATAAAGTGCTGTTTATCTGGCAACTATGTCCACATTCAGTATCTTTGCATCGTAGTTACATTGTTTCGTAGTTTCACTTTCAAAATGCTGTGGTCCTGTAGAAATTTAGTCCCTCCTCAGGACTCATAATTCAATTTTTTGTTTGTTTTTTTTAACTCTTCATGTGTGCCTTTGGCATGTTCTGCCACATGTTTTTTTTTTTTTTTTGTCTTTTTAATTTTCAAATTGTTTTCAAGCAAAGATGAGCCGTGTACCACAATGATTCCACAGCTGTCCTTGTTAGAACATCGTAGTGAAAATATGTACAACATAAACGGAAATCAAAATATTCATAATTATCAAAATTTTTAGTCAGGGTCTGTCCACAATAATTAAGACTACCAATTTGTATCTAACACTTAAATAATTCACCAAATTTGAAGATGACTCTTAATTTTCTTCTCCTTGAGCATCATGAATTCTCCTCACAATGTGGAAAATAGTTTTTGTAGGTATCATGATCTCACAATTGACTCAAAAATATTTTGTATTGGTTATTTTTTAAAACCCAACTTCCAAAAATCGAGTATTTTCTAGGATGACTGCCCAACGATGTAAAGACAATTGCAAAAAAAATTTTAACAATGTTTTGATACTTGCAATTAGATTGCAGGGACTCAAAACTTTCTTTCAGAGTTAGTGGCTCAGCATTAAATTTTGTCCTGGAAGACATCAATGGCACATGGCCCATCAAATTTTGAAATAATATTGTCAACCTCAAACCCTATTATTCGCCGTTCATACATTACATGAACTTGTAAGACAGGGCCAAATGTGAGAAAACGTTTTGAATTAATCATAGTTACAATATGAAGAAGGGAGAGTTTACGACTTCCTCTTTTTTAGGTAATCCTAATGTTACTCCGACCTACTTCCTATTTTTGTGCCCAAGAATCAAAATTGAATAGGTTCCTCAAGTCCATCATATTGTAAGTTTTGATTGGATCGAAAATTATTCATCATTTGTATTAGCTTTAAAATTATTTCTTTGTACATATATTTTTAAAATTTCAGTAATTTTTTAGTGTTTTTTTTTTTCTTTGTATCGAAAATTATGTTTGTAAATACATTAACAGATTTTGTATGTACATAGACAGGCATATGAGATTGTAGCTTCTCACTTCGCTAACAAAACTCGAAATTCCAGAATTCGAAAGTTTATTTTGTAGCATTTTGTAAATTATTTTCTCTTCTTGTATATTCATTGACTCTAGTTTTCTGGAAAATTGACTAGAAAATTTTTTATTTGCAAATAGCAATCATTCGAAGTGTTGCCCCAATTTTGAAACTGCCTTTTTATTAATGGTTGTATTTTTTGTATTTGACCTGAATTTATTCAAAAGATTTGGAAGAATAAATTAATTTTTTACTGATCCCGCTTCATTAATGTATTCTTAGCCTGGACTTTTAAACATGGTGGGATTGTTTGAACGTTCAAGTCAAAATTGTAATCGTTAATTTATAGGAAATTTGAGTTGTGACCAGTGTAACGCCAAAAAAAAATCTCACTGCAAGGAAACAATCAACTGGCCTTTTAAACTTATTATTCACTTTATTATAAAATACATTTAATCCATGCTGAAAATAGACCACTTGACAATGCAGCAATTTTTACTGAAGCAAAAGCAAAAGGACGTTTTCTCTACGGACATAATGTAATTAATTGCAATTCTATAACATGCAGAATAGTCCATATTTTGCAAACCAATTAAGGGCTGTTCGTTTTATGCCGAAAATCAGATATTTTCAGCCACTTTCTCCTTCTCGTAATGCACCTGTAACGCAGGCATTGCAGGCATATGCACTCCCCTAATAGAAAGGAATAACATGAAGTTCAGTTTGACACCCCTCCCCCCCCCNCCCCCACCACTCAAATTGACATATGACGATGAATTCTAAATGGAAAATTGCCACCTTGCGTAAATTTTTAATCTTTATATTCTTGAGAAATGGACGTTTTGCACTCATTCTACCATCATGTGACACAACCTTAAATACCCCCTTCCCTGTTCAGCTCAAGCCTGTGCAGAACTCAGTATCTAAGCCCACCGCAGTCCATGGGTCAATGCAATTTATGGCGTTTTTCTTGCCATTATTACTGATAGGAAATGTTAGTGTGCAATCGTGAGGACTACTATCAAGTGACTATTGAGGGATATGCGGGTGTTTATTGAACGATTAAAAACTTGATGAAAAATCGTGCATCCATCAAAAAAGTAGCTACCTTTCTTAAAGTGAAAGCCCAAGATGCCTATACGAATCAAATGATTTGTTATGACCGTCATTCATTTTTATGAAATGCAGTTTTTTAAGAGGTATCGGTCATTATTGTTTTTTCGTATGGATTTTCCCATACTAGCGAGAACCTCAATTGAGGAGAGTTGGATGTGGGTAAAGAAACTATGGAC